TTGTTTCAATTTTTCAAAAGTAAGGACCCAATTGACACACCGAATAAGTAGGGGACCTATTTGAGATTCTGAACGAAAAAATGGACCTACCGAAATATTAAACCATTAAAAAAACAAAAATGTGATTAACGTCGTACATTGACAAAATTCGACGTTAATTGACGCAAATTGACGTCAAACATAAAGCAATATTCAACGTCAATTTGCTCTACTGGGGACTTCGGATTGTTCTATGTCCAACGTCAATTAACGTCGATTTTTTTTAAATTCAACGTCAATTTAATGTTTCCCAGTCTGACATTGGCCTTGAATTTGACGTAAAAGGCCGAAAAACACTGATATTATACAGTGCTTTTGTACTAGTGACTTATTGCTAAGATATTCGGACTTGTTACATGTGGTGTGAATGCTAGAGTAGGAATTATAAGTATATTGTTTAATGTTTTTCATAGTGATTGTATACGTGAAATCTAACCCTAGTAAAGTCTTTACCATATAGTAATTTCATAAATTTTATTGTATTCTCAATTTTCGATTTATTTCATATACATAAAAAAATTTCATTCTTTTAAATTTCTTAACCTTAATTAGTGAATAAACATAACTTTTTTTTAATAATGCAAATCTCTATGAGAAACAATATCTAGACTTATCCACTTTATTACTTGTACGATTTGATACACTTGTCAATTTTGTAACACTCAACCAGTATTTAAAAGCTCAACAAATCGTACCTGTCATGCTGCCCATGTGTAATTCAATATTGGGTGATAGATACGTGTTATTCAAGCAAGATTTGTTGAGAACTGTGTAGTCAACACACATGCACCACTTGCCACTGACTTTCTTCACCATAACGACGTTGGCAAGCCATGTGGTGTAGTTGATATATCTAATGAAACCGACCTCGAGGAGAGTTGTTACTTCTTTGGTAACTATTGCTCGACGCTCTTCTTTAAGCTTTCTCCTTTTTTTAAGGCCATAGGTTTGGCTTTGGAAGGATGGATAGATGGTGGCACAAGAAATCGATCAATACCTAACATTTTGGTTGGGCACCAGGCGAACAAATCCATATTTTGAAGTACACAAAAAACACTACAGGATGAATAGTATTTTCAAAATATTTTTGTAATGTAGCGTCTAATGAGTTTGTAAAGGTGTATTCAGAAGTAAATTATGTCTAGACGTTTGGTAAGGTAAGTGAATAAATGTTCTTTCAGACGATGACATAGGAAATTTAACAATAGTTTTAAAAGAAGAGAACAATAAGACACAATGTTTATACTCATTTACTTAAATTTGAGCTACATCCAGTTTTCCCTTAAGAACTCTTAAGGGGTTATATTAATCTTATCAATAATACACGAGTTTAACCTATTCCTGGTTGAGTATTCTTACACCACTCCTAATCCCCTAGTAAACACGACTAGTCTGAGTATTCTTACACCACTCCTGGTTTCGAGTATAACCCACTCCTACTTGAGTATTCTAGCCACTCTTGGCATCCCTAGACAACACGTCTTATACAACTGTCTAGACTGAGTTTAACCACTTCTTACAAGTATTTTAGTTCTCTTAAGAACTTACAATAGATCCACTGTGGTATACGCTACAAGGTACAAATGTTAACTCTCATAAAGATGATATATTTATATTTACAATTTGACACTTGTATAGTTATAGACTTGAGTAACTCTCTAAGAGAGGATAAGTGTAATGATGTACAGTCTTGTAACTTGGAGATTGTTTCCTTTGCTAAAGAGCATCAGACGATGTAAGCTTGATGAGCAACAACATTGATCTACAATCCTCATGCTTATGCTTGCTCTTTTTCTCTTCTTTTCAGTAAGCTTGTTCCTTTGATTGGAGAAGCATTAGATTATGTAAGTGTGAGTAGTAAGACAAATACTTTCTCTTTTTATCTTCTCCTTCCTTCTTCAATGAAGTTCTTTCCTTTGATTGAAGAGTTGTATACGATATAGGCTTTGATCAACATCAGTGTTGATCATTCAGCTGATTTTGATTTGTATGTTCCTTCTCTTCTTTATTCCTTCTGGATGGAAGAGCTTTCGACGATGTGTATTGATTTAGTGAGCAACAAAGTGAATGTTCAATGCATGTTCTCTTTCTTTTCTTCTCTTCTTTTCACTATGCTCACAACTTATTACTCTTTTCATCTTTTCATTTCAACCTCATTTCTTTACTCTTTTTCTTTTCTTCATCCCATCTTGGGCTTAATATTTCATCGCTTTCCTTTTAGTTTTCTTCAACTCTCTTTTCTTCTTCATGTCTTCATGTTTTCATCATATTTTTTATTTGAAGAGCATCACACCGCATATGTACTGAGGTGAAGTAGAGTAAATTATTCTTGAATGTATTTCTTCATTTTCTTTATCTTTTTCACCTTTTCTTTCTTCATATTTTCAACTGCTTCTATATATCTTTCTTAATAGCAACAACTTTCTTCTTTTCAATTGATCTTTTTATATAAGCCCTTTTGAAAGATGAATGTTGGATGTTGAGTTGAGTTTTAAGAAGAGTAGGAAGCCTTTAAGTGAGAGGCGATACTTTTTTCTTTTCATCAGAGGTAAAATGCTTTATTAGAGTTTTCATTGAAGAGTGACTTGTACGGCTCTGCCAGAGTAGAGGTCTTCAAGAGATTTATTCTAGAATGTTCTTTGCCTCTCTCAACGTCTTTATCCAGCGTGTGTAGATGTTCTCATTAATCCTTTGTGTATTCCTATTCTGCACAAATAACAAGGACAAGGTATGTAAGCAAAATAATATTTTACGGTACATGCATTAAATGTTTTGAACGTTTATAGTTGTTAACTTCCGTTGCTTGTCAAAACATCTTGTCATACATCTTGTTAGTAATTAATGCATCATTCAAGTATATCATTCAAGAAGGGTTAAACGATGTATAACACTTTTGATAGCAGATGACATATGACACTATACTCTTAGGAAAAACTAGTTTAGATGTATATTTTAATATGTTTTTCATTAGACGATGTTTTCCCTTACAACATTGCTTTTGATGTAAGACATTTAAGCTTCAATGTTATTACTATTCTCAAGAAATGATATTTCAACTTGAGAGCTTGATACCATATCCTACTGTTTTGCACATATTCCTAAAATAGTTCCTTGGTGACACATTCTTCTTTTCGTCTCTACATGAGTACAAATTCTTAGGTATACTATCTCTAAAGCTTTCATGTAGATTTTTCTTATTGACCAAGCGCTTCTTGTTAACAATGTATTAGATTATATATAGACTTCAGCGAAACGTTGTTGTGTTATGTTCTTATCTTGAGAAGACTGTGGATTAACATTTGGAAAATTTATGTAGTTTCTCGTATAAGGCCTTTGATTTTCATTTAACTTGAGTAAGTACTTAGACATTATAGGTTAAGTAGGCACTTCTCTTTCATAAAGGATATTTGGTTTAATACTTATTGTTAAACTTCAGAACTTGGATTGTTAGACATTTGGTTTAATCTCTCTAGACAATCTTGTTTTAGAACTTCCACAATTTGCCCGCGAATCATCTATATTAATGTCAACCTTCATAATCTAGGATGACTTAGTTCCCAAGGAGCAATTTTTGCATTGGTTCATCAAATGAAGGTTGACCGTCCTTCGGGAACTCGAACATGGGATCAAGGTCAAGAGCGTTGTTGTTTGAGCCCGTTTTCTTGCCAGAGTGATATGTAAATACTAGGCAACGTGATTACATTGTTTGCTACATTGTTGTTGCCTAAAGTGAAAAGTTGGTGCCAATCGAGCAAGTAGGAGACAAATATGGTGCTATTTTTAGGCTTGTAACATATCAAGTTCTTACCTCTTTCTAGTCCACTTTGAAGTATTCAAGTGTTTTTCTATTTATTCAATTTTTATTGTTAATAAAAAAATAAATTTATTAAAGCAAAATTAACATCTACATATTGACATTAGCTGTCATTTTAATAAATATACATTATAGTTATTAGAGATTAAACACATATTCAATTCCTTTAATCATTATCAAAATTCAAATAAAGTTATCCAAATTAAACTTTTTATATTAAGATTACGATTTTTTTATTATAATAACAACAAATTTTTTATTTATACTAAACCAACTACGTACTCAAATACATTTATATAATTTTAATATGCATATGCTTTATATATTATAAAAATGATTTTTATTATCGAAACAATATATATAAGACATCTCTACTGGCATGCAGTACTAGGAAATAACGAGAATGGGAGAGAATCCAATTAGTTATGTGGCAGCACATAATATGTGGGATTCAAGCTTGATTGACTTGAATTTGTTAATATCTTTTATTACGAGCATGTAGTAGCAGACAACAATTTACAACATTTTTTACTGTACCATAAGTAATATTCGTTTTTTCGTAAAGCTAACTAGTGACAAACACATTTGAAAGGAAAAACCATTGGCACAAGTGGCAAAACACATGGATACATTATGATTTGTGAACAAGAGTTAATTAATAATTAAGATAGATCGACCTAATTAATTGAGGAGGTTGAAGCCTTCACGTGCCTTACTTTGCAACATATGATAACATTTCTCCTACATCACCTGTTAATGACCTAATTCTTAATCATGCTACTCATCTTCCAACACTTTCTTCATTCAATTTACCTATTCTCTCTTCAGAACTCATAGATGCTACGTACGACACTGTGCCAACTTGATCTTAATTAAATCAAAAAATTTAAGAGGAAAAACTTAAGACAAAATATTAATTATGATAAATATATAACATCATCAAGAAACAAATCTTTTCCTATCTGTAACAGTTTCTATTATACTGGCATGTTCAAAGGATTAAGAGACATAATCATGCTGTTTTACAGATATGTTGTGGAAGTGAAACTTAGTTAAAAAGGAAATGGAAGTAATAAAGCGAACTTAACCTAACAAAGGACGAAGAGAAAGATAAAAGTATAAAAAAAGGGCATATTATTAGCACTTCTTGGACATGATATTATTGTTTTATACAAAATATGAAAGCCAACAATAAAAAGTGAGTGGTAGCAGCTACAAATTGCTATTATTTTAAGAAATTGCAATATTGAAGACGAGTATAAATCAAAACTAAGGTTTAGAGATGTAGTACTGGTCAAGTTGAAAAGTGTTTTGCTTCCAAACACCTTTCTGCAGTTTCATCTTCTCTTATTGATTTTGGATATGAAGGTTTTGCTCTTCTTCTCCATTTTTATTTTTTATTTTTTGTTTTATATGTTTATGTATGATATACCTAGCTCCGAGGGAAACTAAATCTTATTATATGATCGATTCAGCAAATTAGAAACAAGGGTTGCTCCATTTCGGACATCTTTTTTTTAAGACTCTTGTTTTTTTAGTCTTTTCCGTCTCTTAGGGGTTGGGAAAGATCGATATGCTTTAATTTTGTTCCTTTAAATTCCCAGTTTTGTTGATAATAATATATAGAACATCATTATTCATTAAATTAATTCTCAAGAGTTAGTCTATATTATTATCGTACCGATTTTTCTCTGTAAAATATTTATTAATTACAGAAATTAATATTTCAAACACACGAAATGGTTACTGAATTTACCTTCACTCAAGCACTTTGATTGGCAACATTCTACATATTTTTAACAAACATGCATATTTTAGTTTGCAAGTAATGCACAACAATATTCGAATAATTAGTGCTTATGTTTTTATATCTCTGTCCTATTTAGCAAAAACTGAGATAAACATGTGCACTGGTGGTGAATCTGGAGGAACTGTAGAAGGTAAGCCCGTGAGCAAGTCAAAGGTTGGCCATGAGAAGCAGTGAAGAAGGCAGGGAAGGAACAAGAAACTGTTGTTGTGGCAGGTTTTTTCATGACCTTCCTCAACAGTTACACAACCTTCTCAAGGAACTTTTCCCTACCCTTTCTCTCTCTGAGGTTCGTAACTGTATCTCTTCCTCTCTCTCTCTCTCTCTCTCTGTATGCTGGTTTTTGTTCTGCAAGTTTTTCTGCTGCCATGATTTCACTTCTGAAAGACTGTTTTATTTCTTTTCTGTTGGGTCAAAATGTGAAAATATCATAATTTGTAGGGATTAAAAAACAATTGATCATGTCCCTGTCGTACGGAAAGGAACCATAATAAAAAACCTATTAGCATTGTAAAAGATTTTATTTTTTTATTATGTTATTCCTGCCCCTGCCATGGTTGTTGAGACCATGAATTCAGGTTTCATTAATATTTTCTTGATGATAATATAAACATATAAACACACACACATATATATATATATATATATATAGCATAATCTTGGTCGAGTTGGCTAAGTTGATAGAATCACACAAGTACCGCAATTTAAGGTTTAGTATTTGTTGTTACTCTACACTTAATGTGTGTCGTTTAGGCAATCAATAATGATATTGGCGTATTAGTACTATTTTACTTATAGATTTTTTTTTTCACGTACTTTAAGGTAAACTCGTTTGAATTAATTAAAAAAAGAAAAGTATTTTTGTAAGCATTAATGAGACAACAAAATTTTGTCCTCAAACCCCAAAAACAATGTGTCAATTTTTAAATATACAGAAAACATTAGAAAACTACAACCTGGTATTATTTAATGACTTGCATCAAAATCCATGAAAAGTTTGTGACGATAAATTACATGCAATTATTATCAATGAGTTAGTCGATTTATGAACTAACTTAATAGTAAGTTGATTTAGATTTATGAGTCCAGACTACAAAAATTGCATTTAACACAAATTGATTTAGATAAACAAATATTTAATTCTATATTATTGAGTTTAGAAAGTAAAAAATAATGGTTTTCTAATTATATATATGTTCTGTTGTCATTAAATAGGTTTTTGAATTAGTCATTAAATAAGTCTAGTATTTTTTTTCTAACAACTTTAAATTTAAAGAACATTGACTCAATGTTAATTTCATTTGATTTTAATGTATATGGCCCGTATATATATATAATTATAATTTCATAAGTAATTAGTTTTTTGAGACATGTCTTATTGCAGTGAAATTTAAAATTAATCTTTTGAAAAACTTAAGGTAAGAAACATTATTTGTTTAACAATACAAAACATATTGGTCTCTAAAAATGGTAACAGAATGAATTAAAGGTAGGATTAGCGCCTTCTTCTTCCACCATAGGTTGAGTTAATCAAAGTCACTGTTATATAAGTTTATATAACATTTTAAAATAGATCTTACACACCTGCTACGTACTTAAAATGAACGGGATTATAATCAAAGTTTAGAAAAGGGTATGAAGTAAAAATTTAAACTAAAATTTGAGTGGGATCAAGAAAATCTACGAGATATACTCGCTTTTCCTTGGTTTTGCAAAATCTAATATGCTTAAATGTTACATTCTGATTCTCATAATATTTAAATTAATGGAGAATAATAATAGTAGTATAGTATAATTTTACTATGATATATTTCATTAAGTAAAAATCAATATAAAGTCATGAAGAATATAAATAAACAAATAACTAATCTACAGTGAATTTTAATGAACATAAATATCGTATATGAGCCTTTATTTACTTTTAACAAAATTGAATGAAAAATTCAAATAAGAGAAAACATATATCAAATCATTTTTATCAATTATTATATATACAAGTTTTGACTAATTTAATTAACTTCTAATAATTTTTTCTATTTCGCTAATTTTCTGGGTTGGCAACCTGACCTAATTTGTTTTTGTTAACGTTTAAATAAATGATCGTATCAGGTAGAACTGAGCTTTACAGTAGTTGACGTGCCAGTGTCAAATTTTTCGAAACGAATTTGAGAGTTCATTCATAAAACAAAGATATATTCTTGGCAATTTATTATAATAGTGTATATAGATAATTCTACCAACAAAGAAAAATAATATACATATTATATCACACCAATAGTTATCTTATCAAATAGGTATATTTTGAATAGAGATAATTCCTATCATTACTCTGGATAAAGCAACGGATGAAAGTTCAACATAAAATCATTAAATAATATTAAATAATATATATATATATATAAGTGAGTGTAAATTCAAGTAGAGTTAGACTTAAGTTTATACTTTAAAAAGTAAAATACCTTAACGTAAGAAATGTGTAGGAAAAATCTCATATCGATTAAGATAAAATGATTTCATAATATATAATTATCCACACCCTTTATCCAAAAAGTAGTAGAAAGAAAATTTTGCTGACTCCTTTGAGATGCACTTGCAGGTGAAAGAGGAGTTTAAATCACTGGCGAACATTGCATGTCCAATAATGGTGACGAACGTGCTTCTGTACTCACGATCTGCCATTTCGATGCTGTTCTTGGGTCGGCAAGGGAAAGTTGAGCTAGCTGGAGGAGCACTTGCAATAGGGTTTGCCAACATCACTGCAAATTCATTCCTCAAGGGTCTTACTATGGGAATGGACCCAATTTGTTGCCAAGCATATGGAGCAAAAAGATGGTCAGTTCTAAGCCAAACCTTTTTCAAAACCTTGTGTCTTCTCTTCCTTGTTGCCATCCCCATTTCACTACTATGGCTAAACATGGCCCCCCTCCTACACTGGCTAGGCCAAGACCCTGAAGTCACACAGGTTGCACAAGTTTACATGCTCTTCTCCATCCCAGAACTGCTTGCCCAAGTTCATCTCAATCCATTGAGGTCCTTCTTGAGAACACAAGGCTTAACAGCTCCACTAACCGTAGCTGCGTCTTTTGCTGCCATTTTACACCTTCCAATAAATTACTTCTTTGCTACATATTTGAAATTGGGAGTGAAAGGCATTGCACTAGCCACTGGTTTGAACTCCATAAACATGATCCTAGGCTTAGTGCTTTATCTTCTCGTGTCAGAGAAACCTCTTAAACCTTGGGAAGGTGCCACTATTCTCTCTTCTTTTCGTGATTGGAGACCGTTGCTTACTCTAGCATTGCCAAGTTGCATCTCAGTGTGCTTGGAGTGGTGGTGTTATGAGATAATGCTCTTCCTATGTGGCTTGTTGAGTAATCCACAAACCACTGTTGCTACCATGGGTGTTCTCATTCAAACAACTGGGTTCCTATATGTATTCCCATTTTCATTGAGTGCTGCCTTGACAACACAAATCGGTCACTCACTAGGTGCAGGGCAACCCTTACGTGCACAAAGTACAGCCACAATAGGACTTTTCATAGCATTTGCATCAGGGGTCTCAGCCTTTGTTTTCTTGATGTTTGTGAGGAAAGTGTGGGGGAAACTCTTCACAACTGAGACACAAATTGTTGATATGGTCACAACCATACTTCCAATTTTGGGGTTGTGTGAGATTGGTAACTGGCCTCAAACTGCTGCATATGGGATCTTATCAGGGACTGCACGCCCTTATGTGGGTGCAAGAATAAACCTGTTTGCATTTTACTTAATAGGGTTGCCAGTTGCAGCTGCTTTCATGCACAGATACCAGCTGAGGGGTTTGTGGTTTGGCATGTTGGCTGCCCAAATTTCATGTTTTGGTATGATGCTTTACACATTGATTCAAACAGATTGGGGGCATCAAAGTAAAAGAGCTGAGCAACTAGCTCTAAGAACAGATGATGAGGAAAATGTAAATGATGATGGGGAATGTGGACTCCTTAATTCTGATTTATGAGATATTTAAATCAATTTTGCATAGTCATAGTCACTGGTACATGACCGCCTTTCCAAAACCTTGCGTTATTGAGATTTTCTAATCATTCCTCACGAGTCACTACAACATGATTTCTTCTCTAAGTTAGATGAACATCAACAAAAGCTTGGTTAGTCAACTTATTCATGATGATTTTTAAATAACAACGCACCATAATTTGGTGGGTACAACTACCTCAGAGTTCATGATCTACGATAAATTTTATGCTCAAATACATGTTTTGAGTGCATGCATTGAATAATGGTTGTTGTACTAAACTAGACAAATTTGAGGTAGAAATTACAGATCTAGGCAAAAAAATTTCGAAATACGAAAATAGATGAGTCGTGGAGGGTCCGGACGACTTCAAATGAAGAAGTCGTGCCCCCTGCATGACTTCATCCTGTAACTCTGACCAAGATTGAAGTCGTGCATCCCAAAAACGACTTTAGGTCGTTGTAATCGATTACCAAACATTGTAATCAATTACAACGTCCTGAAGTTGTGCCCTCATGCACGACTTCACTTTGGGTAGGCAAAAATGGCTCTGGTAATCGATTACACCATGTTTGTAATCAATTACACCATGTTTGTAATCAATTACACCATGTTTGTAATCAATTACTAGAAAGTTTTATGGACAAAAACTGTCTGGTAATCGATTACAACACTAATACAAAAATAGCGTATAACGTCGAATATTTTTTGCCTTTCTCTTCGAATTCGAAAACGACGTCATATCGAGAGACGTTAAATTGACATCGAATTTTGTCAATATACGACGTTAATTTAACGTCGAATTTGTCAATATACGACGTTAATCAATTTTTTTAAAAATAATTGTAATCCTTTTTTACAACTCTACGAGACCTAAAAAGCATAACTATGAACGGTAATATAGTATCAACAACAAATAACAATAACAAACAACAAATAAGTTCAATCAAACAACAAACAAGTTCAACCAAACAACAATAAACAAGTTCAACAAAAAAAAAACAAGTTTAACAAATAAGTTCTTCAAAACGAAAACGAAAACTAACCTTCAAAAGTGTTGCCACCAGAGAAAGCAGAATGCGCATATGAAAGACAAGAACACGAAAATAATCAGTGAAAACAAACGAAAATTATACCTGAAGTAGATAATTAACATGCATTTGTATCAAATGAAAGAAAGATTACATGTGATTGTCGTCAAACTTCGTTTGAGAAAAGTTTGAGTAGAGAAGAGGGTCTCGCGCTCTAAGATAAAGTGAATGAATTTTCAATCTCTCGCTCAAATTTTTATTGAATTCACTAACCTTTTGACGTCTAACGCTGAGTCATTCGACATTTTATATCCTTTTACGTCGAATTATAATTCTAAACGACGTTTAATAATTGCATTTATTTACAAAATTGCCACCGGTCATTTTTAAGGTTGGCTATTGAGTGGTTAGACGTTGAACGTGTGACGTTATACATTGTTTTTGCACTAGTGCAATAATGCTGTAATCGATTACCAAAGGCATTAGTGTTGAATGAAATATTTTTTGTGGTTCTTAGCATTTTTGTTTTGTTGATTGTGTTACATAAAAAGAATTTGACATTATAATTTATTGAATGGAAAAACAAAATAAATAACTAAAACAAAATTTTTAAGATAATCAATACTAATTTATTAATTAGTGAGGGTATTACAAAATTGTAAAATTAATAAATCAAGAATATCGAAGAACGACATACGTGTTTCTCAAACATACTATCTCAAGATCATACAAATCTTGATAGTATTCATATTGCCACAATCGTATCAAATTCTGTCAGGACAAACCCTTCCATTCCCATTAAGAGTTTGGTTGTAGATATTAAAGCCCGATTCGGATATTTTGTGTCATACAGAAAAGCCCGATTTAAATATTGTAAACTCATTCTACAAGTGGATGAAACCTTTCTAACGGGCAAATATCATGGAACTTTGCTCACCGTCATCGCTTAGGATGGCAATAGAAATCTTTTTCCATTGGCATTTGCAATTGTAGAAGGTGAGACAAAGGAGGCCATGATATGGTTCTTTCAACTACTTCGAGAACATGTTAGCCCTCAACAAAATATTTGCATCATCACTGATAGGGGAAAGTGTATCTTATCCGCGTTAAGATAAGAAGAAGTAGGTTGGGAAGAAGATGGTTTGAACTCTATTTATTGGATACGTCATCTAGCCTCCAACTTCAACAACAAATTCAAAAATCAGGAACTCAAAAAATAATTATCAGTTTAGGTACTACTATAAAAAGTTTTACTACCAATTTACAGTTTATATTTTGTTAACAAAATTCTTCAAATTTTTAATTTATTATGTCCTTACAACTTACTAGGTCAAGCAACCGACTGTGACGACAAAGCTTACTGCACTGAGAGACCAATACCTCCAACAAGTTGCTTGGATAGATAAAATTCCATTAAAAAAATGGTCTCAAGCTTTTGATGGAGGGAAAAGATATGGACATATGACCACTAATTTTGCTAAGTGTATGAACTCCGTTTTAAAGGGAACACGTTCATTACCAATTTTTGCTCTCATCAAAACAACATTTGAGAGGACATAATCATGGTTTGTTGAACGAGGATTAAAAACACACTACATGCTACAAGCAAGCCATCAATTTCCTAAAGAAATCACCGACATTATTCAAAAAAATCAACAACAATCCGCATTTTGTCATGTTCATCGCTACAATCGTGAAAATTTTGATTTTGATGTTCAAGAAATTTCAACACCTCACCAATATCGCCCACATCCAATTTCCTATAAGGTCAGGCTAAATGAATGGTGGTGTGATTGTGGTCACTTCCAAGTTACTCGTCTCCCATGTCATCATGTCATTGTCGTTTGTGCATATTCTCATATACCACTAACCCAATATATCGATCCAGTCTACAGTCTTAACAACATTTACAAGGCATACGAAGTATAATTTCACCCAATCCAAAATGAAGATTATTGGTCTGCGTATATTGGTCCAAACTTCATACCAGATCCTCAAATGTGACGCAAGGCATCTGAAAGACCAACTACAAATAGAATTTGTAATGAGCTGGATCAATCCTCTTCAGATTAGCAAAAAAAATGCTCTTACTATCGCAACGAAGGTCATCATAGGGGGACATATTCATTTCGTCAATAATTATTTATTAATCTTACCATTTTGTAATCCCTTCACTAATTAATAAAGTAGTATCAATTATCTTATCCCCACGACTTGCCTATTTTCGTATTTTGAAAACGTTTTGCCTAGATCTGTAATTTTTACCTCAAATTTGCTTGGTTTGGTACAAAAATTGAACACTAGTGCAGAAAAGGCCTTTAACGTCACCCTATAAACGTCCGAGTCTCGAATATCCAACGTAAAAAATGACCGGTGGTATTTTTCGTAAATAAAACAACTATTTAGACGTCTGTTATGGGGGCCTCCGACTTCTAAAGCCATTTAGACGTCTGTTATAGGGGGAACCGACTTCTAAATACTCAGCCCATAAATTTAAAAAGTCACTTTTTGACTCCATTTAGTCGTTTGATCCCGTCACTCTGACTTCTAAAGCCCTTTAGACGTCTGTTATGGGAGGAACTGACTTCTAAATACTCAGCCCAAAAATTTAAAAAGTCACTTTTTCATTCCATTTAGACGTCTGATCCCGTCACTCCGACTTCTACAGTTATTTAGACGTTTGTTATGGGGGGAACCAACTTCTAGATACTCAGTCTAGAAAATTAAAAAGTCACTTTTTGACTCCATTTAGATGTTTGATCTCGCCACTCCGACTTCTAAAGTCATTTAGACATCTGTTATGGGGGAACCGACTTTTAAATACTCAGCCCAGAAATTTAAAAAGTCACTTTTTGACTCCATTTAGACGTCTGATTCCACCACTCCGACTTCTAAAGCCATTTAGACGTCTATTATGGGGGGAACCGACTTCTAAATACTTAGTCCAAAAATTTGAAAGGTCACTTTTGGACTCCATTTAGACGTATGATCCCGTCACTCCGACTTCTAAAGTTATTTAGACGTCTGTTATAGGGGGAACCGACTTCTAAATGTATGGATTAAAACATTGTGAACGCGAGGCTGCCGTTACGCGCACTCGCTGTTCATTATCTTCCTCGCGTTTTCTCTCCACAGGCTATGTTTTTCAGGTTCGTTTTCTCACTTTTGCACCGTTTTAAATTAATTTTACTTCGATTACATTACTCTTTGATGAATTATCTTTCATTTGAACCGATTAAAATGCGTCTTCGTTGGGTTTTAGTGCAGTTTTGCTCGTGTCCTTGGGCGGCGATTTCTTGCGTTTTGCACTTCTCTAATTCCCTCCACTACGTTTTTAGAACCATCCAATAAAAAAAACGTACAATTCATTCTCTTCAACTAAAATATAAAGTTGTAAACTCGAATCACCATGAGTCAAGAGCAACCCGAGAGGCCTCAAGCGGAAAAAGATCCAATCAAATACGATGACGTTTTAGGTCAGACGTTTATATAAACGTCCGATCTGTACAGGTCAGACGTCTATATAGACGTCTGACTAGGGTCCGACGTCCTATCAACGTCACCCAAATAGACGTCAGGTCGGGAGCAGACGTAAAAAACTCAAAATAACAAATGTCTAAAGCCTTTTCTACACTAGTGGAATAATATTATTTAATGATGAGTATAAATACTTAAAGAACTAAAATATTAAAACTAGTATTTGTAAAAATCAAAATGAATAATTTTTAAGTATAAAGATTAATATTTTTATAAAACTATAAATATTAATAAATAAGTAAGTAAACCTTATATCTAATTAGAACTTTTTTTCTACTTCTAAATTTGTAGAAATGGTATGCGTACAAAATAAATTCGGCCTCAACAAATGGTATTTTAGGCCCAATAACTTCGTTCACTCCAACATACATTAGCAAAATCAGCCTTACACTCAGATTCTGTTAAGCTCATTCATTGTTAAACACACATTCAGTTTTGCTATTAACACTACCCTATTTTAGTTATTTTATTTTGAAAAAGAAAAACACCTCTATCATATATGCATTTCTATTAATTTCTACTGCA